CTTTAAGACCACCTAGACTGGTACCCAAAACACCCATAAGTGGTAATGATAATTATGATGACAATACTACTTCCAATTTTTTGAGTACCTACCACGAGCAAGAAACTATACTGACACTTTCGCAGCCATTGCTTTTAACAGCCACAGCAACCCTGTAAAAGGCAAATGTTCTTACTGAGTATTTTTTGTCCTCAGTGAAGGTCTTGAGTGGTAGTTGAGAGGCAATTGGTCCAGTATAAAAAATTTCAGAGCTGACTTCTTCCACTTTTATTTTTTTTTCTCTTTTTTTTTTAAATAATAAATTTTATTTTTATATTCCCCATACAATTGCAGCCCCCCCATTCTGACCCCAATCCCTCCCCTCCCGCCCCCGCCCCCCTAAAAGTGTCTCTGGTTCATAGTTTTTTGTTGACTTTGATTTTCACTTTCTTATAGTTATTCATTTTCCTGGTCCCTTATTTAAGTTTTCTAGATTCCTGCTATGAGTGAGACCATCCGGTATTTTTCTTTTTCTTTTTGGCTTATTTCGCTGAGCATGATCCCTTCCAGCGCCATCCATGTTGCTGCAAATTGCATGTGTTTATCTTTTTTGAATGCTGAGTAATATTCCATGGTATATATGTACCACATCTTCTTGATCCAGTCATCTATTTTTGGGCATTTGGGTTGTTTCCAAAGCTTAGCTATTGTAAACAGTGCTGCTATAAACATAGGGGTGCAGGTGCTCTTTGGAATTGATGTTCCTGTGTCCTTTGGGTAAATACCTAGGAGTGGAATTGCTGGATCATATGGAAGCTCTATGTTTAGTAGGTCCAGAAATCTCCACACAGCTCTCCACAGTGGTTGGACCAGTTTGCACTCCCACCAACAGTGCAGAAGAGTTCCTTTTTCTCCACACCCTCGCCAACATTTGTTGTTGCTAGTTTTTTTAATATGTGCCATTCTCACTGGTGTAAGATGGTATCTCATGGTAGTTTTGATTTGCATTTCCCTGATGACAAGTGATGCTGAACATTTTTTCATATGCCTGTTGGCCATTTGCATTTCCTCTTCAGAGAAGTTTCTTTTTAGCTCTTCTGCCCATTTTTTGACTGGATTATTTTCTTTGTTGTTGTTGAGTCTCATCAGCTCTTTGCAGATTTTTCTGATCAGTCCTTTATCATTAGTGTTGGGTGCAAAAATGTTCTCCCAGTCGGTGGGGTTTCTCTTTGTTTTTGTTATTGTCTCTTTTGCTGTGCAGAAGCTCTTTAATTTGATGTAGTCCCAGCTGTTTATCTTTGCCTTCACTATCACTGCTTTGGGTGATGTGTCTGTAAAGATGTCTTTGATGTGCAAATCATGTAGTGTTTCGCCTATGTTTCCTCCTATATATTTTATGGTTTCAGGTCTTATGTCTAGTTCTTTAATCCATTTTGAGTTGATTTTTGTGTATGGTGTGAGGTAGTGGTCAAGCTTCATTCTTTTGCATGTAGCGACCCAGTTTTCCCAGCACCATTTATTGAACAAACTTTCTTTGCTCCAATGCATAGTCTTTGCTCCTTTGTCAAAGATTAGTTGACCATAAATGTGTGGGTTTATTTCTGGATTTTCTATTCGATTCCATTGGTCTGTATGTCTGTTCTTGTTCCAATACCATGCAGTTTTGATGATTATGGCTTTGTAGTAGAGTTTGAAGTCTGGGAGTGTGATGCCTCCATTCCCTTCTTTTTTTTTCAGGAGAGCTTTGGCTATTCGGGGTTTTTTGTGATTCCATATGAATTTCATCAATAATTGTTCTATTTCTTTGAAGAATGACATTGAAATTTTGATTGGAATAGCATTGAATCTGTATATTGCTTTTGGAAGGATGGCCATTTTAATAATGTTTATTCTTCCAATCCATGAGCAGGGGATGTCTTTCCATTTCTTTGTGTCTTCTTCTATTTCTTTTAACAGTGTTTTATAGTTTTCTTTGTATAGGTCCTTTACCTCTTTTGTTAGATTTATTCCCAAATATTTGATTTTTTTTGTTTCAATAAAAAAAAAGGGATGGTTTTTTTGATTTCTTCTTCAGATTTATTGTTTGTGTATAGGAAGGCTACTGACTTTTGCGTGTTGATTTTGTATCCTGCCACTTTACTGAACTGATTGATGAGTTGAATTAGTTTTTCTGTGGAGTTTTTGGGGTTCTCTATGTATATTATCATATCATCTGCAAATAGTGATAGTTTGACTTCTTCTTTTCCTATTTGGATTCCTTGGATGTCTTTCTCTTGTCTTATTGCTCTGGCTAGGACTTCCAGTATTATATTGAAAAGCAGTGGTGAGAGTGGACATCCTTGTCTTGTTCCAGATCTTAATGGAATTGCTTTCAGCTTTTCACCATTGAGAATGATACTGGCTGTTGGCTTGTCATAGATGGCCTTTATGATGTTGAGGTATGTTCCTTGTATCCCAAGAATTTCAAGGGCTTTTATCATGAACGGGTGTTGCACTTTGTCGAAAGCTTTCTCAGCATCTATTGATATTATCATATGGTTTTTATATTTCTTTTTTGTTGATGTGTTGGATAACGTTGATTGATTTTCGGATGTTAAACCATCCTTGTGTCCCTGGAATGAATCCAACTTGGTCGTGATGAATTATCTTGTGGATACATTGTTGGATTCTGATAGCTAAAATTTTATTGAGGATTTTTGCATCAGTGTTCATTAGGGAGATTGGCCTGTAGTTTTCCTTTTTTGTGTTGTCCTTGTTTGGTTTTGGTATTAGTGTAATGTTGGCTTCATAGAACGTGTTTGGTATTTTTCCCTTCCTTCTCAATTTTTTGGAAGAGTTTGTGAAGGACAGGCACAAATTCGCCTCTGAATGTTTGGTAGAATTCATTTGTAAATCCATCAGGTCCTGGGCTTTTGTTTTTGGGGAGGTTTTTGATTACCATTTCAATTTCGCTGCTTGTAATTGGTCTGTTTAGGTGTTCCATTTCTTCTTTATCTAGCTTTGGGTGATTGTAGAGTTGTAGGAATTTGTCCATCTCCTCTAGATTGTTAAACTTGTTTCCATATAACTGTTCATAGTAGTTACTGATTATTCTTTTGATTTCTGCTGTGTCCGTTGTGATTTCTCCTCTTTCATTGATGATCCTGTTTATTTGTGCTTTCTCCCTTTTTTCCTTTGTGAGCCTGGCTAGGGGTTTGTCTATTTTATTGATTTTTTCAAAGAACCAGCTCTTGGTTTCATTGATCTTTTGGATTGTTTTTTTTAGTTTCAATTTCATTTATTTCTGCTTTGGTTTTTATTATTTCTTTTCTTCTACTGGTTTTGGGGTTTTTTTGTTGTTCTTTTTCTAGATCTTTGAGCTTCGAGATTAGGTTGTTTCTTTCTTCCACTTTTAACAAGAAGATGTGTGCTCCTCACCAGGAAGTATTTGGAAGAATCAGCCTGAATTGATACACAAAGGGCTGTGCATGGACATAAAGTGTTGTTTATTGAATAGGCATTATGAGGCCCCAGCTACATGCATGACATTTATGGATGCAAAGAAAAAAAAGGGATAAGAGACAGCCCTACCCATGAGGCTTACAGTCTAATGAGAAACACATAAAATAATTAGAATCAAAGTGATAAGCACATGATGAAAGTACATCATGATAATAATGAACAAGAGGCACAAATACAACCCAAGGAGAAGCCCTCATATGGGAGATGACTTTAATCTAGGTCTTCTATCTAGCATTTGCCATGGGAAAAAGAGTCATTCTAGGCAGAAGAATTGGTATTTATTCAGATTGTTGGCAATCCATGACCATGACTAGCAGAGACCATAAAGAAGTGGGGAAGATTTCCTAGGGCCTTTCAAAAAACTATTCAGCTACATGGTCAACCAGCACCTCAGGACAAAAGGAAAACACCCTAAGGCCCATAGCATACCATGATGCCCCATCCCTCTGCAGGAGACCACCTGCAGCACCTCACCTGGTCCTCCAGGGGAGGCTGAAAAGGACAGAGTACGGGTAAAAAGCCAGTATGCGTAATTCTAAAGCCAACAGGGGCCAGTTGTTCAACATTCTCAAAATCGCTCACAATTTCTAAACTGTGGCAGTGAGTTAAGGCGGAGACGGACATGAAGAGGGGTGAACAGTCACATAAACAGACTCATCTCATTTCACCAAGAAACACTAATAGACATTTAAAGAAATGGACTTGGCATCGCCACTCAGAATAAAGGACAGAGTCTAGAGTAGAAATACATTTAGAATAGTGTTTCCCTACCTTTTATTCTTCATGTTAGGTCTTTGAAGAATTTTATGCATTATATACACTTTATATCTGGAGAAGGCTAAAAGTAATTTCCTCTGTTAAAATGCTGGACTTGATCTTTCCCTACTGCTAGCTAAAATTTGATATATTTTTCAATTTATGGATACAGGACACTGCCAGAGGTCCCAGACAGATTTGACTATCTTTGGTGCCAACATGCCTCAAGAAATGAAATTGCTCTAAGGATTTTTTTGGTATTTGCAGTCAGGTGCTCTAGGGCAGGTACAGTATGCCAAGAACCAACCACAAGAATAGAAAAAAATCCTGGTTTCAATTCTCAAAGATACAATTGTCCATATTAGAAGATTAGACTTGTTCTCTACGATAATTCATCATTCCCTTTCCCTTTTTAATAAAATATATGTTGTTATTACTAGTGAAGTTGAACATACAGGGTAGCAGGGAGAATGGAAGGAAACAGGAAGAGAGAGAGGGAAAGATAGAAGGAGGAAGAGAGGTGGGAGGACTCAGTCATAGAAAGAAGTGATTTAACCTACAAAACCTTTGGCAAAAGGTGCTCCTTTGCACTTCACTTAATTTCAGACTTAATATTACTTAAACTCGTATTGTTAGCTGTCATGGAACTAAGGACAAATCATGACAACTGTAACATCAAGTCCATACATTTGTTTCTGCCATTCTTGAATAGCTTGACTGTTCCACCAAAACAAAAACCCATTTTAAGAATAAAGAATAATCAGACATACATTTCTTAATCACTTTTCCATATTTTCAGTCCATTCCCAAGTTCTTTTTGCCCCACAACTTCCTCATGGCAATTTTCACCTCTTTGTTTCTGAGTGTGTAGATGATAGGGTTCATCATGGGGGTGATAACCGTATAGAACACAGCCACCAGTTTGTCCTCGGTGAAGGTGGAGGATGGCCGCAGGTACAAGAAGATGGCAGGTCCAAAGAACAAGAGGACCACTGTGATGTGAGAGGCACAGGTGGAGAGGGCTTTGCGGCGCCCTTCTGCAGAATGGTTCCTCAAATGGACCAGAATGATGATATAGGAGAACACCAAGAAGAAGAAGGCAAAGGGAGCAACCAAACTGTTCACCAAAACAATAAACCCCTCCTCTGAGGTGTCCTTGCAGGCAAGCTTGAATAAGGGATGGAGGTCACAGAAGTAGTGGTCAATCACATTGGGACCACAGAAGGGCAACTGGACAGTAATAAAAATCTGAACTATGGAGTGAATAAATCCCCCGAGCCAGGAGCCAGCCACCAGAACACGACACACAGACCGGCTCATGATGGTTGTGTAATGAAGGGGTTTGCAGATGGCCACGTAGCGGTCATAGGCCATTACTGTGAGCAGGAAGATCTCAGTAACCCCTAAGAAGTGGAAGAAGAATATCTGGGTCAGACAGCCCTCGAGGGAGATGGTTTTAATCTTGGCAAGTAAGTCTGTGATGAATTTAGGGACAATGGTAGAGGAGTAACTAATCTCCACCACGGACAGATAGTTAAGGAAGAAGTACATGGGCGAATTCAAACTTTTACTGATGGTGATCGTCAGCACGATGAGGCCGTTGCCCAGCACCGTGGCCAGGTACACAGGAAGAAACAGCACAAAGCACACTCTCTGCACCTGTGGGTCCTGGAAAAGACCGACGATTATAAACTCAGTCACATTATTTGTCCTCGCCTTAGATTCCATTCAGATGTGCTGGATGAGAGAAAATGAGAAGCCTGCAATAAACAAACACTGATGTAACACCAATCTGCCTGATATAGAGCACATCTGACAGTGTAAATCACTTTATAATATACACTAATCACTACGTCATTCATCTAATACGACTCATTTTTAGCAAATATTAGAAATCTGGTAATAGTTTATATACCAAAAATTTAAGGTGCAGAGATACAGTTATTTACCCAGGATCATACAAAATAGTGGTGAATTCCAGGACTCAGAACCAGGATGTCTGGTTAATTTCTTGGGAAGAAAATCAAAAGTTGAGTGGCCCTTTGCTAATGGGAAAGGGATCACCCAGTTATGAAAACAGGAACTCTTAACTACCCAGAGCTAAGGGCTTCAGGGAAGGCAGGGGCAGCAGAAAAATTACACTGATATAAGCAATAGTGCTACACTATCATGGTGTGGTATCCTTTGCAAAAAAGGGCTGTGAGGTAGGCACCAAGACCCAGAATCATGTGAAATAGCTGGGACCCTCTCCCACCTTGGCAAATCAAGTCACTGAAAAGTCAGAAGTCAAGACTGTAGACTCCTCAAGAAATACCTAAGACCAAATCCTCACTCAAGAGTCTCAGGAAGGGGCCTCCCCGGTGGCGCAGCGGTTGAGCGCTGGGTTGCGAAGCTGCCCGCAGCCTCTGCAGTGCCAGTTCAATCTCCAGCTACTCCCCGGCCACCAGAGGAGGGTCCCACATGGCACACAGACCTCTCCTGCTGCCTGCTCCCCTCAGCAGTGTGCTTCGGTCCTTCTGCCTGCTCTGCTCCCTGCTCTGGCTCTGGTGAATTCTCCCACCCTCCCGCGCTTCTGACTGTACCCAGTGCTTGTATAAATAAATAAATAAAAATAAATCTTTGAAAAAAAGAGTCTCAGGAAGGATTTGAACTGAGAACAGGGTGCAGATGTTGACACAAAGCTATGGAGTATCAGAAAACTCAAGGCAAACGTGACCTGGAGGGACTTGGATGACACCATCACTCTCCAAGCTGCCCAGGCTGTGGCTTCAACATTACGCTGGACTCAGCCTCCCTTTCACTTCCCATTTCGATTTACTCACCACATTCCCTTAATTGTACCTTTAATCTGCATCACTGACCTTGCTGTTGATCACTTTTTACACTGCGTTATCAAATCCTCTTAGTCGCCAGATGCTCCCAGCACATCCACCCTGCACACTCCAGCCAGGAAATGGTTTCTAGACCCATTTCCTCATCTCCTCTACTTCTCAGGAATAAACCCTGAACTCCCCCAACTCACTTTTAAAGGCTTTCACGGTGTGAGCAATCTCATCAGCTCCTAATCAGTAAACTCCAACTCACTTCTGCTCAAGTCTGGATCATTCCCTGATCCCATAAGCCTTCCTGCTCATGTCCACCGCTGAGGCTCCCTTCACAGAAACACACTATCCTCATCCTTTCCCAGCCTACCTTCCTTCCAAGTCCAACTCCATCCAGTTTGGTCAACGAAGCTTGCCTTTAAAGCTCCAGTCACATCTATCATTTCTTCGTCAAGCACTGGAAAATACTTTGGTGATTATTGTTAAATGGAAATCTGATTTTGTTGCTGCTTTACCTATATCTATCAATACCTCCCACCACACACAACATGAATTATAGTATCTGTAACATGGAGTGCCAGGTCCTTCCTAAACTGCCATCGCCCATGTTGTATCATTTCTGTCATTCCCCACATAAGCATAATACAGCCATTTCCCCTGCAAGAACAGAGAGCTATCCTGACTAGCCAGCTTCTCTGGGTTTACTAGTCCTTTTTCCTAGACTGCGAGTAACACTTCACCACTACAGAAATAATGCATTCCTCCCTTTATGCCCCAGTACCCTATCTCGCTGCTCCCACAGCAATTAACAGATGCCTTTAAAATTGTAGCTCTGTATCTGTCTCTTCCAGTTAGAAATAAATGTACTATAATATTCAAAATTATCTCGTGAATATTCTTCATAAACCTTGTCTAGGAATTGCATTCTGCTTTATAATTGTAGCTGCATTTCAACAGTACTGTGTCACACACTTTATAGTGCTCTATATACATTCTTGAATTTTTCAGCAGAACTCTGATAGGGGCATAATTAACATCATCTTCTTTTACAGAAACAGAACAACAAATAAGTGAATTAACTGATAAGAAGTTAATCGCCATAGAATCAGAATTTCAACCCATGCAGCCTAGCACAGGTCACATTCAGCTAAGTCACTCTGAGTTGGAGCTGAAGGCATTTAGAGACCTTTCAACCTAACCTTTCTGTTTGAGATGAGGCTGAGCAAGGTTAGCTGACACCAAGGTACACACTGGATAATGTATCTAACTTGGAAATACTAACTGGACATACTAACTCAGAAATTAGTACTCTTTCAACAATAGGATTTGTTCTAATTGTACTGGGTGGTGGCTGCTACAGCAGTTCAAGAATCAGACTCTGTCCCCAAAGACAAATCACCGTTAGAAAATAAAGCAGATGATGGTTAAGATGAGGCCACAAAGGGGGGGGGGGGATAAATGAATATTCAAAGAACATGGATCTGGATTGATATCTGGATTTATAACAGCTAAGAATTAAAAGTCACAGGAAGCCCCAAATTGACTCATTTTAAGATCTTTTCATTCATGTAGAAAACCTACCTACCTACCCACTGCAAATCCAAAGGTTGTGACTAAATGCTTAGATCCTTGAACTATTTAAAATAAATCAGACACACACAATAACCAAGGGAACAATTTCCCCCGTGGAATTTTCTCTCTCTTGGGTGAAACATTGTCAATTAAACTATGACTTGGGGAAAGGTTCAAAATCAGTTTCAAGTTGTTTATGAGATTTCTAGAAAGTGTTTGCTCCCAATAATGAGGACTTTAAAAAAAGAAAGAAAGAAACTTGAAAGTAAGACCTAAAGGAAACTGTTCCAAGACTGGCCAACTGACAGTAAAAAGAAGAATGAATAGAGAAGAAAAGTAAGGACTGGACAGGGTCAGGATACCTGGTCACCAGCTCTGGTCAGTAACTGATTATCTAACTTCAGCCTTGTCATTTCACCGCTCCACTACTCACTCTCCTGTTCCTGCTTCTCTATAAAAAGTCAGACTTGAGCTAGACTATCTCCACCATACCTTCTAAATCTAACATGTCTTCATGAATAAGTCATTTGGCCTCCAGTGTCTCAGCCTCTTCTATTAATTCTGGCAAGTATTACATGGCTTGACTGAGTAAAGTATTAAATGAACCTAACAGCCCTAAAGTGATCAAATGATTATGACACAAGTGGTTATTGATATGACCAAGCCATTAGACATCATATTTATGTTGAATTACTTGAGAGGTGTAACTAATAAGCTGCCTGACATTACATCCTTTATCCCCTTCTTCAGAAACAGAAGTCTGATTTTCAGCTAAACACAATACCAATCTGGGGCTCCCTGGAGGCACAAGGGGTTAAGCACAGCAATGCGAAGCATCCACAGCTTCTGCAGCACAAGTTCAACCCCAGCTAGCCAGGGAGCTACCCACATTGTGCAGCAGACCTTGCCTGCTGCTCCCCTCAGCAGTGTATTTCAGTCGGTCTGCCTGTTCTGTTCCCCACTCTATCTCTGATGAATCCTCTCACCCCCCGCACCTCTGACCTATACCCCAGTTCTTGTATGCATAAATAAATAAATCTTTAAAAAAAAATACCATTCAGAATGAAAGACTACAGTTTGCAGTCTCCTGTGCAATTAAGGGTGACCATGTAACTAATTTCTCTTGAGTAATTTGAAAGTAAAAGGGTAATGTAGCACTCTTGAAAAAAATCTCTTAAAATGCCTTAAAAATTTAACAATGGAAAACCACATGGTCCAGCAACACCAAGAATTATCACAATAGTGAAGACATGGAAACAACCTAAAGATGACTGGATAAAGAAGTTGTGGTGTATATATATGCTCAATGGAATACTACTCAGCTGCGAAAAAGATGAAATCTTGCCTTTTGCGACAAAATGGATGGAATCTGAGATTATGCTAAACAAAGTAAGTCAAAAAGTAAAAGAATTACTGGATGGTTTCACTTATATGTAGAATTTAAATAACCGAACTAACAAATCATCACAAAATTAATTCTGACTCTGAAAAATATAGGTTACCATGGGGGATGGGGAGGGAGAAGAAGAGTGGAAGGGAAGAGGAGAGGATACCAACCTGATAGTGGAAAGGATATTAGCACTTGGATGGTGGGTGAAGTGAGGCTTATAAACACATGGAGGTGAAAATGTATGGAGTATTAAAAATCATTTTAAAAATCAATAAAATTGTATTATTTCTTTCTCCTTTCTCCTTTCCTGTACCCTGGAATACAGATGAAATGCTAGAGCAATGTCATGTCATCCAGTGACATACTGGATGTCATCCAATATGACATCCACTAGTCATAGGTAGATTTTTTAATTTTTAAACTTATAAAAATTAAATAAAATTTAAAATTCCATTCCTTGGTTTCGTACACTACATTTCAGCTGCTTAATAGCCACTGTCACATAGGACAGAGACATGGAACACCTCCAGGATGGCATAAACTACTGGACAGCACTGGAATTGGCACTAACAGCCCTCTGAGGTCAGCAACCTATTTCTAAGTAATCCAGTTCTAAAGTCAGGACTTCTACTTGCCCTCTTCACTACCCTCCCATAAGTCCTAGCACTCAAGGCATCCTCTGCATTCTCAAGCAAGCGATGGAGGAGAATCCAATTATCACATCATCCCTCCGCCCCACCACAGACATCTTCAAGAGGCTCGAGACTCTTGGTACCGATTCTGCCCTCATGCCTCACTGGATCACTCATGTCAGCAAATTCCAGGCAGACTTTCAGCAGGTGGGCTCAGACCACTTCACACACATACTCCACGAACCTCCTGCCCAGAGAAACTAGACATGGAAGGGCCATCAAGGTCAGATCTTCTTGTGGAAGAAACACCAA